CGGGGGCGCCGCGGGCCCCGCTGGGCGCTGCTGTCGCGGGGCGGCCGCTGTGGTTCGTGGGGAGCCTGTGGCCGGCCGCGCGTGGTGCGCGCCCCGCGCTCGTCGCGAAAGCCTGGCTTCCTCCGAGGTTACCTGGCTCGCTGGCTTGCCCACCTGCTGCGCGCGGGTGTCCGTGCCGGTCGTCCCCGCGGGGGCGCAGGAAACCCCCGCGCAAGGCTTCACGGCGCGCGGGCGTGGGGCGGGACCGGCGTGGCTTCTGGAGGCGTCCGCGTGAGGACGAGCGCGCGTTTCCCACCCGGCACGGGCTGCCCGCGCGCGGCCGCGCGGGAGGCGCGGAGTGGGTCCCACCTTGCCCGCGGTCACGGATGCAGAGTCGGGGGCGCCCGACGGCTGGGCGTCGGGCCCGGACGAGCCTGCAGCCCCGCGGCCGCCCCGCCGCCCCCGTGTTCACGCGCCTCTGCACGCGCGACCACGCTGGGACCCGCTTTTCCGTCTCGAAGATTCCACACCAGCTTCTGTGGCCGTCCTCCAAGAAACTTGTTCCACGTGGGTCCGTGTGGAATTTTCCGAGGCGGCACCGAGCCCACAGGTAGAAAACTGGGTCCGAGACACGCTCGCGTTTACCTCCCAAGCGAGCAGCTCAGCTCCAAACGCAGCTGCTTTCAGATTGAATCTGGAGCGTTATCCGCACCTGGTGGAACGGATCCCTCGCGGGCTTCATGGTCGCGTGTCCCCCGCGCTCCTTGCGGCGCCCCGCACCCGGTCTCCCGTGTCCCTGCCGGCCGCGGCACCAGCGTCGTGTGTCTCAGCAGTCCACGCCACCCGTGGGCCCTCATCCAGCGCCTCTACCGCTGTAGCAGTCGCTCGTGGGAAGGCCTGGGAATTTGTGCGTTGGCTGTGGCTGTATATTATCAATAGATCTTTTTTTTTTTTTTTGCAAGTGCGTTATTATAACGCGGGTATTGGGCTTTGCTACACATTCCTAGCAGTGCTCGTAGACCTAGAAACGGCCGTCGTCGCATCAATGGAAAATGCACCCAGTGGGGCTACAAACTTTTATTCTCAGCTCACATATCTGAGATGGTAGTGAGGAAGGTACAGGTGCGTATAATTGATGCCTTGAAAAATGCATTTCATGGAAGTTACAGTTTTTAATTCTAAATTGATGAATAATAGTAAGTAGGAAATGTAAGTCTCCCTTGTAGATTCTGCAAGCTGTTTTCTTCCTTGGGCGATATGACTAGTTTTGTTTTTCTTTCTTTAAACTTTGTTGCGGAACAATTGTGTTTTTTCCAGGACCCATCAGCTCCAAGTCAAGTCGTTGTCTTCAATCTAGTGGGTTCACGGAAAAGTCATGACGCGTTTTTGCAACGAAAACCATAGAGAAAATACGTTATGACTTTTCCAACAACCCAATAGTTGTGGAGGGCGCAGCCCGCTGGCCCATATGGGAATCGAACTGGCAACCTTGGTGTTATGAGCCTGCGCTCTAACCACCTGAGCTAACTGGCTGCCTTATGACCAGTTTTAAAACACACTGTGATGTTGTTTTCATTACGCTGTTCTGTTGGCAGTGAAGCACTTTGTGTAGCTGTTATGCCTCATGGAAAACATTGGTTTTGGAAGAGTCCCTTCCCAGTGACTATGGAAATGCTGAGGCGGAGTCTTTCTGCCCTGGGGATTCCCACTCTATGTTCAGCTAAACTCAAGATGAGTCCTGGTGTTACTGGGGAGGAAGCAGAAAGCAGGGAGAGGTGGTGCTTGATTTCTGGGGAGGAAATCGGGTTTCCTATGGGGAGCATCACTGTCTTGTTCAGTCCGAAATCTCATAATTAAAAAGCATCCAAAAGTGGACTGGCGTACTCTCCTCCATTCAAGCAGGACTATATTTAATGCAGAGGTGAGCACCCTTTTTGGTGCAGTGGTCAATTTGAGGGACATACAAATGTTTGTGGACTAATACTGTTTTCCCTTGAAGCATGTTTAAACTGGGAAAAGCCATAGGGAAACTATGGATGCTTAAGGATTATCTTTCTTTTCCACTCACCAAGTGTAGCTGTATTTTTTTTGGAGGTAGGGGGAGATACTAAAACTTTTTCCAGCTACATAACTACATTTGTTGCAGCGCCTGATTGTAGCGTACATTTTAATACATTGTTGAGAATGACACTGGGAACTGCCATATTTCTTTTTCATTGACTGATCTTGTAAGCTACTTAGTTGTGACATGGTTTTTCTCCTGGTATTTCGTAATTTAGTATTCATTAAAATGAGTTTTTTTAATTGTCAACAACCTTGACTCACAAAAGAAGTTCAAGCCGGCTTAATGAAATACTTGATTTTCATTCCTCTTTTTCTCTCCTTGGTGGCAGCCATAGCAAGGGTTTTAGTTTTATTTAAAAGTGGTTCACAGCCCACAAGTTAGCCCATCCCCTTGCCAAACTGAAACAGTTGGAATTCACAGGAGCTGGCCAGGCACACCCACCGTCAGCCTGTCACCTGTGGTCTGGGTCTCATCTGAGAACCCTAGAGCTCCCTATGGCCCTATTTGCGCTGTTTCCTCACAGAAGATGTAGGGTTAGATCTCACCAGGGGCCTTGGGTGCCCAGCACGGACAGAGGAGAGGGCCAGGAAACCACTGCTGCATCCACAGGTGTGTGGCAGGCAACAGAAGGATGCCCTGGGGAGATGGCCTGGGATGGAGAGCAGACCTGTGGGTTCCCTCTGTCGGGAGTGCAGAATGTTTTGAAGATTTGCAAAGATTCCACCAACTTTCCCAGTGGCCTAAGTCATGAGAAAGCAAAAGGAATCCGTGGGCGCACACACAGGCAGGTTAATCACTGCCTCCAGCGTCAACCTGTTGCATTTTTAGAGGTTAAATCCTGCAGGTGTCCTCCCTGTTTAAGCCCAGGTGCAACAGTTCATTGCCAAAGCATGTGTGTCTGAGTTTTGCATGGAGCACGAACCGACAGCATCCCAGCCTGAGATTGTCTGGTCCCAGCCAGTCCGAATTCAGGTCCTTTCACATGTCTATGGTTTGCGGTGGTTCCTGGGCTGCAGCAAACGAGGGGCATTTGGGGGACTCATATAGCACTTAAGAACGGACTGCCTGGATGCTGGGGACAGTCAGTAGCTATGGGAGAACTGCTCCCTCCAGAACTGCTTCCCAGCCAGGGCAAGGCCTCTGCCACCGCCACTGCTACCGCTGCCGCTGCCGCCGCCGCCGCCGCCGCCTCCGCCTCCTTTCTCTCCCTCTCCCTTTCCCTCCCTCTCTCTCCTTCTCTCCTCTCTGTCTCCTCCTCATTTGCTGCGTAGACAATCTGACTTATTCCGATACCAGCAGACAATTCCTCTTCAAAAAAATGCATCCTCCCTAAAACTGCTTTTGATTTGTACTAGAAATGACTCAGGAGCTAGGACAGGGGCTGATAACTCGAGTTTCCGCAGCTCCTTAAACAGAATTTTAATCAGTATTTCTGTCCTTTGCAGTCAGGTATTTGGGGGTCCAGCCTGCAATAGGGCAGCTGCTCTCTGGGTGTCAGCCTCAAGTCATAACACATGCTTTCCACTGCTCTCTCTGCTCAAAACAAGTCCAAAGAGGGTTATCTCATTCTTGATTCCCTCAGTCTCTCACCTTAGTTCCAGAACTGTCAGTATGTGCAGCCAACGCAGCATATAGAGTCGGGCAACATTTCCCGTGATGGTTCCCCTTGAAATAGTTAAATCTTTGTATTTTCCCTGAATTTGATGCAGTGTTTTTAAAAAACAGTTTCTGTGGCACTTGCTAATTCTCCTTTAACCATGACTACTGAAATGTGTTCATTTTGCCCTTCGAAATAAAAAAACAGGGAGAAACATTGTAATCCCTCAAAAAAAACTCCATTGTTTTGGGGTATAGTTTGGAAATAAAAGCTTGGAAACCCCCCCCCCCAGTCCTTTTGTTGTTGGAGAGTGGGCCTTTCTTGGTGCAATTCCCAGGTCCTTGGCCTCTCCAGCAAAGAATTGAACGACATACCGGAGTAAAGTAGTGAAAAAGCAGTTTATTAGAAGAGCTAGTACATTTCAAAGAAGTAGAAGTGGGCCCGAGTAGTAGAGACTGGCTCAAGGGCCCATTATTAGAAGAGAAATTACACTTCAAAGAGTTTGGAGCTGGCCACGTGCAAAGTCGAGGCTCAAAAAGGGAGGAAGGACGTCCAAAAAATAGGGAGAAGCTGTCAAAAAGGGAAGAAGCGGTCAACAGGGTGGACTTTCCAGAACTTGGAGTTTTTATCCCTTTTTCTCTCTCGAATGGGCTTTTCCCCTTTGGGCGTGGGACCACTTGATTGGCACCTGTGATTGACAAGAGGTACTGTGCAGGTGCGAGTGAGTGGTCTGATCTCGTTGGGTATTTTGTGCCCATTTGTTTTCCCACAGGGGTAGGTAATTACAATACAAAGGGGAGTTTTGGGTGGAGAGGGGATGTTCCCTTGGTGGTCACTCTGTGGGACGTGCAGGAATGCAGAGACCCAATGCCTGTCTCTAACTGCCTGCCTTGTTTTCCCCTTGAGAGACGTGATCCCCATAAAATCTCTGTGGGAAGCTGAGGGACAGGAGGTCTTCTGTATCTGTTTCCCGTTGGGCAGGGACATAGAGGTGTCCCTGCCTATTGGGGAATTCATGGAACTCTCACCCTATCTGATCTCAAATGAGAGGATCGCCTGGAACCATGTTGGCTTCTTTGGTTGCAGCTGGCAATCTTGTTGGGGTATCATCTGTATCCCCAAGGCCCCTGAATGAGGAAACATAGATTTTAATAAATCTGTTAGCTTTCATGAAGCCTGTGGCCATTCAGCCCGTCACTCAGGTGGCTGGGTTTGGAAAGGAACATTAGGCTTACTGGCCTGGGGGATATTAAGAAGTCACAGGCTTTCAAGTAGTTATCTGAAGCAGGGGTAGGAGGTTTCTATGAACCATCTATTGTTTAGGATTCAGACACTAATTTACAAAACGATCAAGAAGCAGGGAGATAGGAGAGTTCTAGGATTCAGGCTAGGAGCAAGCTTTAGTCTAGGATTCACAAACTGATGCAAAGAGTAATCAAAGCCAGGAGCTAAGAAACTAGGGAGGAGACTTAACATTTCTATACTTAACATTTCTACAGGAAAGAAAACTTAAAAGTTTTTCAGTTGGGGGGTGGGTTGACCCACAACACTTTGACTGTCAGTTTCCACCTGGGGCTCTAGCTGCTGTCACTGCCTGCTTCATGTCCTACAAGGAACCTGTGTCCCCATCCCTCTACTGAAACAGAGCCCTTAAAGGTCATCTGTGATTGCCTAAACCCGAGTCTGTGGCTGTTTCTCAGATTTCGTTCCTGATGGCTCAGCAGCGTCTGACCCTGTTGACTTCTGCTCCTTGAAACGCTCCCTGTCACAGCTACTTCCTCTGTTGGCATCCTTCCTGTTCTGTTGAGAGGTGGTTGGCAGTGTGGGCTCTGCCCAGGGTTTGAATTCTGGCTCTAGCACTTGCTAATTGTGGGACTTTGAGGGATTTAACAGCTGTGTGCCTCAGTTTCCTCATCAGTAAAATGGAAAGAAGAGTAGCTGTCATAGG